GTCAAGCTAATATGCACTCTCATGCACCCGTGTCAGATTCTCTAGAAATGCAACCGATTATATTTTTTGATAGTTCGAACAACATAAAACTATGAGGAAGCCTTGGATAGATTCAAATAAGTTCATATCTCTTCTTAGGGGTGATACTATGCATGGTTCGAAAGCACAAACAGACCACTTAAACTCTCTCTACGGCTCTACCAACCAATCTATTTAGTCTAAATCTGCTGCATGCGAAGGTACCTCCCCTCGAAACTCGATCGCTTTATGGTCGATGGTGTGGAAACACTCCTTAGCTTAATGTCGAATTTCTAAAACTAGCGTTCTTTGATTTGTCTTAGGACGGAGTGTTAACAAGATAAGATCGATGATTCACATCCCACAGCCACATGTGACTCAAAGCAACGAAACACACATTTTGTAAAAATATGATATTATTTTTCCCGCTATGAGACAATTTGCCTGCTATAAACAAACTAAAACATATTGATACTGCAAGAATTTTTTACGCTATAAGTGTGAATAATTAAGTTAAATTCTTGTTAAAAGTATGAATACCTGTTGATTGAACCAGGCTTCAGCACAATGGCGATGACAAATACCAAGCTCAGCTTTACAGTCACAACCAAGCTCAATTATTTCCTTGGATTCTTCATTCAAATGACATATACGACATACTTTTTCCATTCCTTGATTTTCATCAATATCTATTACTACTTCAGTACCTTTCTCTAATAGTTTTTCTCCTAATTCTTGTCCTTCTCCATTATTAGAAACCTTCTCTGAATTACCTCCACATTTAATACTCGTATTTAAAATATTGCCATAATCTTCTCCTTGTTTTGTCTCCATCCCCTGCAACAATTTGCTACTGTTGTTTAGTGCACTACTCTAACTTTGAATCAAACAAAGAAAGTTAGAACGATATTATATTGGTGAATTTGTACGAAATATTTGACATCACACTTTGAAAAAAAAGTATCTTTACCGGAAACAGCCTTCCCGCCTTCTTAAAAGCAAAGGTAATGTCTGCTTACACACTACCCTCCCCAGACCTCACTTGTGTAAACCTCACTTGTGAGATTACACTGGGTTTGTTGTTGTTGTACATAATTTCAATGTATTCCCAGAAAAAAAAGAAAAGAAAAGGAAACATTCCCTATCATTTTAATATTATCAACCCCAGCCCAAAGAGAATGTGAGTATACTTAGAATGGACGAAATCTAGTAATAGTTCAATTTTAATATTAATTCTATATAAATCAAAATTTACAACATAGTATATACCTAAAAATCAGTTCCAAATCCAGCCACATGTGGAATAAGTAACAGATAATTCTTCTTCTCATTTCTGTAAATTCCAGAATTTCTAGCCAAGTTTTGCTACAGTTTAACAAACGAGATCATATGAAAAGAAAATAATATAATCTAATTATCGAATTTTTTTTGGTTCAATTTAGATGTGGAAAACAGAACAACACAGTAGCGATATTGTGTTTATATTTATTTATTACATGATCATCTTGCATATGTGTAGTATAAAATCAGTATATACCTGCTGAATTAAGCTATAAACCCCGAAAGAATCAAGTTTTTCCCTCCGCAAATTTGTGTTGTGTGACTCAAATTTGGTAAAAATTGCACGGGTCGCCCTATTTGGTCGCTCTCATTTAACCTATACCCATTTTTTTAAAAACTTCTAACTTGTACCCACTTTTTAAATAACTTCAGCCCCCTTTCTCCTCCTCCTTCTCCTCCTCCTCCNTATCTAGTCTACTAGTCTAATACCCTAGAGAAAAGATGATCTGTTGGTGTAATATATATAGATATATTTTTTTTGCTAAAAGGTGCAATAGGTTGACTTTGCTTACAAAATCTCATGCTTAAATGATTTCCCTGTGACGTTGTGTGACTGCTACCGTTTGTGAAGGCGAGATATTGCACCAGAAGCTTGTTTTCTATCTAGCTTTTACTCCTGGATGATGAACTTCATGTTTGTATATTATGTCATCGTTCCATTGAAAAGAAAAGGAATTGAGAACTGAGCCATAACAATTGCAATAAAAGAATCCAGGTAAAAATTATGTGAAAAGAGTGTCATTTGGGGTAGTAAACATACAATGAACTAAATAACTTCAGCTTTATAGCTGAAGTTTTCCAGTTACAAAGACAAAAACTCCAGCTCTAGAGCTGAAGTTTCCCAGTTACAAAGACAAAAACTCCAGCTCTAAAGCTGAAGTTTTCCGGTTACAAAAGAAAAACTTCAGCTCTAGAGCTGAAGTTTTTATTTTATAACTGACGAACTTCAGCTCTTATAACTGGCGAACTTCAGCTCTAGAGTTGAACTTAAGGTCCGACTACTAAAATGCTAAAGTTTTGCGTGATTGCCTTTGCTACTTCAGCCCCGTATGCTGAAGTTATGCGAAAAAGCGGGTACACTTGCAATTTTTTTTGCAAAGCGGGCACAAGTTAAAACGTGACACAAAAAGCAAGTATTGATGCAAATCCCCCTATAATATTCCATCAGCATAAAATACTGGATAACTTTCTCACAAAACTTAAAGATAGCAAAAAATTCATAGCATTTTGATTTTATGCGACTCTTATAACTTGTTTGGCCAAACTTCTAAAATCAGTTTATTTTGAGAAGTATTTTTCAAAAACATAATTTTGGTGAGAAGCATTTTATGGTTGACTATTTAATTTGAAAAGCACTTTTGAGCGGTAATTAGTGTTATTTTTGTCAAAAGTGCTTTTGGGAAAAAACTATTTTTTTTTTTCAAAAACTCCTTCTGCTTCTACTTAAAAAAACTTTTTTCCTTCTAAAAGCTTGACCAAACGCCTCAACTTTGGAAAAAAAATAAAATATTTTTGGCAAAAAAAAAATACTTTTGGCCCAAAGAAAACTTGGCCAAACAGGTTACTATTAGTTATCTCCAGTTCCTTCAGCTGGTTTATGCAATGTGAATTCTCCCTCTGTCCTGAGGTGTCCTTTTTGGCTAATAAGGTAAGGGTCAAATGATATACTTATATTTAAATAAAAGTTCACATAAATGTGTATAATTAAACTTCTGAAGATTTTTAACAGTCCTTAGTTCTAGTAAGGATTTAGCGTGAAATTTGATATTTTAAGAACTACTTTTGAGATGTTCTTTTAATATTTAGACATAGGAGACCTGTAATATCTTTTCAGGATCATTTTCTTCTATGTCAAATTTCAATGGAATAATGTCATTTTCAGGTGATTATTTATTCGCTGCATTGACTCTTTTGAAACGCAAGCATATTCTAGTTTTTCATGTTGCTTTTGCCTGTGTGTAGTCCTGGAATCTTGAGGAGTATGTCGCTCAAGTGCAGAGCAGGGCATGTCAAACTGATTCCATATGTTTGCTAATTGGATAGTATCATATGCGCACCAACCTGGATGGTTTGCAAGATACCTTGTCCCGGTGTACTAAGCTCCCGTTATGCGCATGGTCCGAGGAAGAGTCGGACCACAAGAGTTATCATACGCAATCTTACCCTGTATTTCTGCAAGAGGCTGTTTGTAGTACTAAATTTGTTTTCTTCCAAAAAGCAGATTAGTTATTGTTAGAGGAAAAATTATATTGTCACGCATTGTTATGTACACAATTTTCGTAGTTGTTTATAATATCTTTGATTCTTGAGCTGCTTCACTAAAGTTTTAAGTTGAACGTTCAGATTCTTTCACAGGCGTGTAACACTAAAACAAAATTGAGAAAATTTAAAAAAAGCATAATTCCTTGGTTTTGCAAACAAGGTGCGAAAAAGGGATCCAAGAACTAAAAAGATCCATATATCAAGCTTTTCCAAGAACTAAAGCACATTTTGATTGCATTTAGAGAGAAAGAGACATATGAGTTGCAGTTAGGATTTTCATTTATTTGTTCGTTCGACTCTCCTCTAGAAAGGCAACAAGTTAGTTTGAGTACCCGTATGAATTACTCTTATTCAAATAATTAATGAAAGAGACTTCGTCCAAAAGGTTGACCAAAAGTGTTGAGTTGATTAAGTATACTCCTAGAAATAAGAACAATAAGACCTCTATATTTGCCTCCACGAAATTCCTGCCTAATAATGCTGCATTGTATACTACTCGAAGACTCCCTTCCAGCCTAAGAAATGTTACTATTTACTTCCACCGCTCCAAAATATATTAGTGTACACATTATTTAATAATATTAATCATACATAAAGTTATTTGACTAAGTTACCATTTATCTCTACTTTTTTCTCTTTAATGATCAAATCCTAGTAAATGTAAAAAAGTAAGGAAAACTGCTTAGAAAGTTGTATAGTACTTATATTAGTACTAATAACTAGAGCAAAGATAAATTTGAAAAAGAATAAGGAGTACAAATAAATAATTTAGTTAGATTTGAGTATTGCTATACAAGTCAACAACAAATAAATAGCAAAGAATATTTCCTCATATATACCACCCGCGGATGAAATTAGTCAACTCACATGTGATGTTTGCTTTTGAAAAAAGTATTAAGTGACAAAAAAATGGAACAAATAATCAAAAGGAACATGCAGCTGGAATTTTTGTTTGAATAAAAAGCCATCTCATTAATTTTAGGAAAACGAGACATAGCTATAACTTTTGGTTATTTTGCATGTTTTTCCTATTCTTTGGATTTGTAACATAATTTTGCAAAGATAATAGTCAAACCGGCCACCCTATTTTAAGGGACCCTACGTTCTGGTTCTCTCGATTTTCTTTCTTTGATTTATTGCTGAATGCCAACCAGATAAAAGTAAAAACACGGTTCAGCAGCTAAGTTTGAATATATACTGGACTTTAATTTGTACATATGAATTTTTCTCTCTAGCTAGTACTTAACTCAAAAAAGTAAACGAAAATTTAAAGTAAAGCTAGACTTACTCTTTTTTTGTCTATCTCTAAGCACGCAACTTACTTGTATATAAAGGGGAATTTGTGCATGTCATACAATCATTCAATCTTATAACTTTTATATATAGATAAGAAGTTATATTCAATTATGGCATCCTTAACTAGGAACGTCCTTTTGACATTTTTATGTGTTTTATTGGGTTTTGCTTGCTTTAGCAATGCCCAGCTTTCGGCCAATTTTTATGGCACGTCGTGCCGTAATCTGCAGACAATTGTGAGCAGTGCAATGAGACAAGCTGTGAATAGAGAGCCAAGACTTGGTGCCTCTATTCTTCGCTTGTTTTTCCATGATTGCTTTGTAAATGTAAGCTCCCATATTCTTCATTTTCCATTATTAGTATTGTATTTCAACTCGTATCTGAGACGGACTCAGGATTTTTACGCGTAACGGGCATAATATTTTACTAACCAGTGCCTCCTAAAAACTTTTAGTGTTCAGGGTGCTAAGTACTTTAAATTAACAATTTTCAAGATATATATATATACACATCCAAGATTTCACATAAACTTACAGAATCTGGTGACCCCTCACTATAACACATAAGTTCTCCTCTGAACTCGTTATTGTGACAGGTTATCTGTCTTACATTTCAGTTTACTAATTCTACTTATTATGAATAGTACCATGCAGTTATCTTTCAAGTGAAGATTCGATAGTCAAAAAATTCTTTTACCCAGTCAATATATAAAAATTAAACTATTTTAGTACAATTTTTGTTTAAGACGATATATATAAGTGGGGCCGTCGTAATCCAAAGTTAGTACTATTATTTTACTCTAAGAAAGTTTTAAATTGTAGAAGTAGCAATAAATGAGTGTTAATTGACGTATACTCTAAAAATTTGAAGGTATATATGCATATTCTAATATTGTCACTTTGATCTCTGGTTACTTTAGGGGTGCGATGCATCAATATTATTGGATGACACAGCAACATTCACAGGAGAAAAGAATGCAAACCCAAACAGGAACTCAGCAAGAGGATTTGAAGTGATAGACACCATTAAAACTCAAGTTGAAGCTGCTTGTCCTAATGCTGTCTCCTGTGCAGACATTCTCGCTCTTGCTGCTAGAGAAGGCGTTGTGTTGGTGAGTTCTCTACTTATTCAACGTCCATATATAGAGCTTTTACTTCGTTTTTCCATTCATGCCTCCATCAAAACGCTCATTAATTCTTAATTTTAATATACTGCATTTACGTCGGTGCTATTAATAGTATTAAGGCTAATATGGATTTAAATGCTAATTGTACAAATATCTTTTCTTTAAACTTGTCATAGCAAGTTCAACAGTTACTAAATGTTTATCATAGAAATTATTTATATGTAATTATAATGGCGGCGGAGGTAAGATTTGAACTTTATGGATTAGGAAAGTTTTGTCCTTTTAAGTCATTGGGTTCAAAATTAATAATTAATACATATTTAATGGATCGGATTTCTTAAACAAATACAGGGTTTATGCAAAGCTATTGGGTTCGGTCGAACCCGTAGGCCTCAATATACTGTGTCATGTATGTAATTTTTTATGCTATTAGTGTAAGTTTAACATGTAATAGCAGTTAAATAACCATGTTTATTACGTTAATGTTTATCCTAACGATATATACTATCAGAACTCGAATACAAAACTTCAACTCTTATATTATGCGTGATATGTAAATAATCTTTTATACTGTCATTGCATAAAATTTAAACTCAACTGGCGATAAATATGCAGCTAGGAGGGCCATCATGGGCAGTGCCATTGGGCAGAAGAGACGCAAGAACCGCAAGCCAAAGTGCAGCCAACACACAAATCCCAGCACCAACTTCCAGTCTTTCAACTTTGCTCTCTATGTTCTCCGCCAAAGGCCTAAACGCACGTGACATGACAGCACTCTCCGGCGGCCACACCATCGGCCAAGCACGCTGTACAACCTTCAGAACCCGCATATACAACGATACCAACATTGACGCGCAATTCGCCGCCACAAGAAGGGCTACGTGCCCTTCTTCTAGCGGCGACGCCAACTTGGCTCCTTTAGATATTCAGACACCAAATCGGTTCGATAATGATTATTACCAGAACTTAGTGGCTCGACGTGGGTTGCTTCACTCGGATCAGGAATTGTTTAATGGTGGATCTCAGGATGCGTTGGTTAGGAGTTATAGTACGAATGATGCGGCTTTTAGAAGTGATTTTGCAGCAGCTATGGTTAGGATGGGGAATATTAGCCCACTTACTGGAACTAATGGTGAGATCAGAAGAAACTGCAGGGCTATTAACTAATTACTAATATGGAGTACTAATATTTTATTATTAATACAGTAGTTATGAAACTTAAGATAAAGTTAGCAAAAGTGTATTTACATCATTTGCTACTTATATAATAATAATGTGAAGTGTAACCTGAGGAAGATAATCAACTACGTATACGCGAATAGTCGTATTCATGTTAGGGACTTCTAAGGGAATATATCGACCATAATTTAATTTGTATTTGTCAAGTTATAAGTTGTGTTTTCTAAATTCCGCTTATTGTATCGTGCAGAGTTTTTGTTAATTTCTTAGACTATTAAAGCCAAGAAGGCACAATTGGTGAAAATATAAAATGAATGGATTACTAGTATCATTACACATATATGAATTTTTTTCTCCGAGTGATTTGGCTGCTTGAATTAAATTAGATTTTCATTTCACAAAGTAAAATTTGGTTAGAGGACCAACGAACGTGAGAATAGGACCAGAATACGAGGAAGCAATATAAATGTTATACCCCATGTTTTCGTATGTAAAAATACACTGTAAGTCAATTGAAGAAAGCTCGAAAATGAGATCCTCTTTGAAAGTATACAAAATAAGTTAATCGTGTTACCTTTGAGGTCACAAATATTTAAAATCATGATAACAAGTACCAAGAGGGTTGACAGGTTTAGAGGCTAAATGAATTGAAGAAAATAAGTTTCGTCGAAAGTAGACAAGTTGAGAATATTATAACATGTACTTTTAGAGTGAGAATATGGTACTTATCATGACAATGAGGTTATGTTATAAGTTATTTTTGTCGTATGACAGTCGTGTGTTATGTTTTTAAGTCAAGCGAGTTGTGGAACAAAAGTTGACAAAGGTCATTACAAGTTACATTCATAAATGTGCTGAAAATTAGGTCAAATGTAGCAGATCTTTTCTCTCAATATAATAAGATTTATGGGGTGATCTACCTATCAAATTGAAGGTCTACGAGTCTAATTTTCAACGCAGCCGTTTGTCGATACAACACCAGAGTAGAGATATTCACATTTTTGCAAGACTGCGCAAGCAGCTCCCTTGGGATTCACAAAGTCAGTGAAAAGTCCAGCTCGTATTTAAGTCAATTATAACTCGTTTTAACTCATTTTCTCAACCAAAACAGTTCCTAAGCCCTCGTAGATATTCTCCAAGCAGTCTCCATGATTCTAGAGTGAAAACCAAAGATAAAAACATGAATCCAACGCTAGAAATCTCATGGTACTTGTTATATCGCAAATCTTCATCTTGTGATTGTTTTGGAGGATTCTTCAAAGTGAAGTAACCTCAGATTTCGTGTTTTTCTTGTTGATTAAGTCAAGAATCAGTCCTTCCATCATATATATTAGGATTTTAAGGCTAAATACAAGTGTTTACACATCAACTTGAACACAAAAGTTGATTCAAGAAGAGAATACAACTCTTATAGTGTTGTGGTGTGATTGAGGGTTGTTGTGAGCTATACCAGCTGAGGACTTCAAGTTGTATCTACTGCCTAAAGTAAGTAAATCATGTTCTTGGTTGTGCTTAAGATTAATCATGTGTTGGTTGAGTTGGTTGAGTGAAAATCTATAAGATAGTAATTGACATGACATAAGGAATCATTATCTTTTTTTGTGGGTTGTGTTGAGACTATATATATAGTTTGTTGTGGCTTGAAATTGTTATAAATAGTTTGATTATGTTATGGCTGCTGTTATTAATTAAGTTTATCTATGTGCTAATTAAGTTGATTGAAGAAGATAACATGAAAAACAAGAGGTTGACGATAAAGGTTAAGGTGCTAGGCGTGTGGACTATTTTTGAAGATTATTCTTATGATGTTTTGGGTGGAAAATTGTGAGGCCCCGTGGAAATTTTCACACTAAACCCGAAAGCTCGTAGTGGCAATTAGGAATATGTGTTCGGACCCTTTTGAATTGGTCTATGCATTAAAAAGTCAAAGAATAATGTTTTCCAGAAAAATGCCCTTTTTGCGGTCCACTATGCGGTCGCATAATAGGAATGCAGACTGCATAGTCGCCGTAAAGTGAAGCAGTGTGTTGGAAAAATTGATGTCAACTATGCGGCCAATTATGCAATCGCATAATCGATATGCGGGCCGCAAAGTCATCGCATAATTCCCTTGGGATTTTGTAAGGGGCAGTTCTGCGGTGCATTATACGACCGCAGAATGGGTATGCGGACCGCATTTCTGCCGCATACCCAGGCAGTGTGTTCAGGTCTTGGGGAGCATTATTGCGGTCCATTATGCGGGCCGCATGTCCACTTTGCGATCGCAGATCCGAGTCGGGGCTCCAGTTTTCTAAATTTAAACCCGAACCCCTGTCGTTATATCCTGTGCAATAGCTCATGTTGAGCCTATTTCCTGACACTTTTAGAGTGAGAGAGAGAGGGGTCTAAGAGGGGAAGTGCTTCCAATCAAAATTACTCCATGAATCCTTGTTAAAATCATTGAAGATAATCAAGTGAGGAACCTAAACCTTCATCCCAAGAGGTAAGGCTTCATCACCTCAGTTCTCATTTTTACACATAGTTACAAAGGGTCATTAGTGAGGTAATTCATGGGGATAAGGGGGTTTACATTGCATGCATGTGTTCTTGAAGAGTATGAGGAATTATAAAAAAAGAGGCTAGTGTAATCTTGCATAAAAGAACCATAAGGCCTTAATGAACACTAAATGCTCGGTAAAATGCTCAAGAGAGCTTAGATTATGATCTTTTCTTGATTATGAGTTAAATTGTGCTATATTTCTTAAATAGATTGAAGTGCGAACATTCTAAAACGTTATAAGATTAAGGAAAACTCGGTTGAGGTATGTATGGCTAAAACCTCGTCTTTTAGAAATTGAGCTTCATCGGCGTTTGTGTGAATATGGTAAGATTAAAGCTGAATTGTTGCATTGCTTGTTATTTTACATGAATTGATGTTGTAACCGTATATGCGTGAAAATGTGTCTCAACATGATCAACGTGATGTCTTGATAACTTGAAAAGGGCAAGGATATGAATTATGTATTGAAATGCTTGGACTTTAAATTGAAATTGAAGCTGCGTATGTTGCGCCATGCATGTGAAGTCTCCTCTATGCCTCCAATTTTAATTGCTCTTTTTATTATCCTAAATTACAAATCTAAAATTGAATGTGGGAACGATGTAAAAAAATGCGGCCTAGTGCCAAGGATAATGTAATAGTTGTGGCCCCAAGTGCCTATGAAATGATATATGTGAAATGAAGTGATTAATGCGAAGGGAACAATGCCTTGGAAAGGCGGCCTAGTCGATCGGGCCGAGGTCGGACTCCGCTCAAGATAGCGGTGGTATTGTGAATGAATTTCGGAAAGGAAAAATGAGATTGTGATTGAAAAATATGCCTCAAATGAGGCGACCTAGCCGATCGGGTCGAGATCGGACTCCGCTCAAGATAGCGGTGGTATTGTGAACAATGATGAATAGTGTGAAATGCCCCAAACTAAAAGCTATGTAAAAATGATGTGGTGATCGTTTAAAGTTTTGAGTTATACTTGTGATTTCTTATTCTTGTGTGAAAGTTCTTTCTAACTAGATGGTGTTTAGTTATACATACTAGTACTATTCCATCGTACTAACGTCCCTTTTGCCGGGGGCGCTACATTTTTAAATGAATGTAGGTGGCTCTATTGCAGATAGTACGGATCGCCCGTAGCGGAGTACCTTCTTCTTGAAGTCTTGGTGAGCCCCTTTCTCCTTCAAGGGGTTATATTGCACATCTTTTGTTGTAGACTTCTACTTTTGAGGCATAGCCGGGGCCTTGTTCCCGGCATTGTCATAACTTGTCTTTTCATCCTTAGAGGCTCCGTAGACATATGTGTGGGTTATGTACGGGCATTGGATGGGTCTACGAACTATGATGTAATTCAAATTATCGCTTTGCTAAAGTGTAATTGTATGAAATCTTGGAACTTATCGACGGTTTAATGTTGAACTAACATTGTAGAATGCACCATCTTTCCTCGTCTGAATAAATGAATGAAAGCATGATCTCCTTATTCATATCGAGTTGGGTAGGAAGTGTTTGATAAAGCTTGCTCAGTTGGGCTTGCTCAATTGAGCACCGGTCGCGCCTCCCGAAGTTGGGGCATGACAAAAATGATATGATAAGCATAAGTATGATGTTATAGATGTTGTAGGAAGATTTATAAAAAAATAATTGGATTCAAACCATATTTTGTTAATCATAAATCGAGCTTGCCGCTCACAATGGTTGTTGAAGTAATCGGAGAGTATTGTGAATTATATTGTTGTTGTTTGGATTGTTTAGTGACTTTTAGTAACTTATGGAATACAGTACAAACAGGGGAGGTGTTGTCCCTTTTCTTGTAGAATATTGGTTTCAAAATATGAGAATTACAACGCTTATATGATGACGACGAAATCGGTTTACTCATTGTAGATGTAAGAAGATCATATTGAGCTTGGTTGATGATTGGAGAGAAGATTGCAAATGTATGTTAAGGCTATCCCTTCTTTCCTTTTGGCATGATCCATATGATACAAACGAAATGAACAAACACACAACTTTCACAAATGACAATATTCTTAGAAGTACTAGGGGTGCATATGTTCTCGATTCCTCATGTGTCCTATTATTATATCGTCTGTTCATGAGTCTCAAAAAACATGTAAGTTGATAAAGTTTATTTCATGAAATTAATTGAAGGCATATTGATCTTATGACATTCCAAGAGATCTTATTGACTTACTTCATTATGCATTACATTCATTTATACATGTACATTGACCCATGACCAGATGGCATTATATACGTGCATATTATATGTATATGGGGTATGAAAAAAGGTTACAGCGTTATATACGCACAACCACCTGATTAACTAGCTTACGTTGATGATTTCGCCCACTGAGGCCGATATGATATGATAGGATGCCCTCAGAGGCTTGATGATGTTATGTACACATGTACATATGCATGATACATGTATACATGACACTATAAATGTTCCATGATTCACTGAGCTATTCAAACTTACAGGTTAAATCCTTTACTCCATGTTTTTTTCATGTCTTTTATATACTGCTTTTCATGCCTTACATACTCGGTACATTATTCGTACTGATGCCCCTATAGCCCAGGGGCCTGTATTTCATGCCTGCAAGTCCTGATAGACAGGTGGATAGACCTTCCCAATAGATAGAGCCAAACATCATCTTGTAAGATCCACTTCCCCGGAGTTACCAAGTTCAAACCATAGAGTCCATTTTATATATACAAGTTTGATGGGTAGGTCGAGGCCTTGTCCC